AGAAGTGGTATCATAGAAGCGAAATCCAAGAGTCTTTATCTGCTTTTGTTAAAAAAAGAGTAAATAAATGGAGATTATAGATTCCTTTAAATTCAATTGAAGTACAATATAGAAGTAAAAAAGTAAGATTAACTGAAGAGGAATCTCAATGTATACAAATTGTTAGTTATGATCTAGACACGGAGATGATCCAAAAACAAGATATGTCACTGAAACTCAAAGAGGATTTGATTGTGTGGAACTAGAACAATCAGTCACTGCCATATAAAGATCTAACTTTTTATACTGATGGATCATTGCAACAAACAAGAAGTAATACAGAGGGTCTAGATCGCATGGGTATAGGAATCGTACAAGTAGATCATAACGAACAAACAATAATTAAAGAAGGCTTCGCTGCAACAGAAAATTGGCCCTTATTAACCAAACCAGAACTGATGACGATCTGGTTAGCGATTCTTGTAATGCCTAGCAGGAAGAAAGTCAAGATATATACAGATAGCGCAGTAGCAATCGCAAGTATAGAGAGAGGAAAGAGTAATCTTTTAAGCAAACAATGGCTAAAACAGAAAAATCATGATTTAGTGCATAGTATTATAGAATTAGTTAAGGTAAAAGAAGTTCAATTAGATTTAGTCAAAGTTAAAGGTCATAGCAATATTAGGTGAAATGATGAAGCAGATAGTTTAGCAAAACAAGGTGCTATAATAACAAATATAGATAGAATTATCTTTAATCCTCCATTAAGGTCAAATGTTTCGTTATACTAGGATGGAACACTTATTGAGTATCCAGTAAGACAAGTAATCAAAACACTTCTAGATCTTAAGATAGCGGCAGACTGGAAAGAGTCGAAAGCGATTCAGAAAATAGAACCAAAAGAAGATCTCGAAGCTAATGAATGGACCTATTTTTGGAAGCGAATCAAGAGAAATAGCAGAATTAGATGTACAACATTAAAGAAAAATAACCGCCTTGGAGCTCTAATTAAATGTGCTAACGAAAAGTTACCAGTACTTCAGATATTAGCACAAAGGCGCCCAAACCTATACCAAGATCCTAACTGCATAATATGCAATGAAAAAGTCGAAGAAGATCAAGATCATCTAGCAAGCTGCAGAGAACAAGAGAACAGCTGGAGGATTGCAGAAAAACTAGCAGCAAATATAGCATGGGCAGCCCTTCCAGAAGAAACCCAAATGAGAACAAATAAAAATCTACCTGAAGAAACTCTTTGGGGAGAGTCAAAGGAAAAATCTTTAGAAACGAAAGCCAAAGCAATCAAAGGTCTGATTCTAGAAGACAAGGCAGAAAAGATACAAGAAACTCTACAATCAGGAAAAGACGCCAAGACCTACATCGAACTTGCTTTTATGAAAATATATGGACAAAAAGATGTGAGACAATACGAAGATGAAAAATTAGTAAAGGTATCACAACTAAGGAAAAACATAATAGCAGATCAACAAAAGAAAAAAAGAAGTCAGGTCCAAGTATAGCTGAAACAAAGATACAGAAAAAGGGTTTAAAGATTATAACTAATGAGGAGAAACTAGAAAGGAATATTAGATTAAAAAAAGAAAAAGAGGAGGGTATAAAACGAATAGAAAATAGATGATTTAATAGTTTTAGAAAATTAATACAAAATAGTTGCAAACCCTTTTGGTATGGTTTGTGCGGCTAACCTGGTATTAGCCTTCTGATTATGAAACAAATTTCAAATCAGTGCGCCAGACCGCTTCTGGGCACCCATGAGGTAGCTGGGGGATGTCGGGCCTAGATATTAAGCTCAACATTATGTAATTTATTTATATAATAATCTTAATAAAAGATCATCAGCAAGGTTGCCAAAAAGGAAAAAAAAAAAAAAAATAGAGGTTATTTTAATAAAATTTTGAGATACAGGTGGTGCACTGAGTGCACAGTGCACTGTTTAACAGATTCCATTATTAAATTATATAAATTAATATGTGTTTATAATTAAAATTTGATTTTTTTGATTGGCTGGTTTAATTATACAAGCTGAAATGATTATTTCCAAATTTGGACAGTCTCTTCTGAAGGCAAAAACCATGCTTTTTTTGAATATGTGCCAGGTTTGTGACCAGTATTTAAAATTTGATTTTGTTTCAATATGTGAAAAAGTTTAATAATTTTTGTAAACATAATAAAAATTCAAAAAATAGATGTATAACATATATGATATATAATAAAATTCACAAATTCAAAGAAAATTTCACTTGCAGAATTAATTTTTAATCTGCACACTGCAGATTCCACATATAGATTTTAAACACTGTTTGTGATACAGCAAAAAATTCTTCAAAGTTCATTTATATTAGAGTTAGAATTTAAATTAAAGTTAAAAAAAGATGTTTATATAGTAAAATTGTTTAACAAAAACTTTTTGTTAAAGCACTAAAGATGATTTCTTATGCAGATTTTCAAGAAATAGATGATTTTTGACAAAACGAATGTTGTTTTAAATCCTCTTGATTGTATTATATTACACCTAATTTTGAAATCTGATTCATAGTTCAGAACATTTACATTACAAACCTGGTACACATTTATGGTATGCAAATCCCTTATATATTGAACCTAGCTACTGCACCAATTTTGTCATAGATGATTCTTGATTTTGATTGGCTATGAGCGACAATCTCTTAATTTTGATTGGCTATGAGCGACAATCTCTTAATTTTGATTGGCTAAGAATGATAATCAATAATTTAGGCCAAAGTTACTCAAAATTTTACTAATAAAACCACAGCCACATATTCCTGGGCTAATTTTACCATTGTGCGGGCCTATTTCTCTAAAAATTTCCATTTTGGGAATGAAAAAGTTAAAAAGTTAATTCCGGCCAAAAATTATATAAACAATTATGTAATGCGTGCCAAAATTTTGTAGATCACGGCCGTTAGCCAATCAAAATCGAGAATCATCCGTGACAAAATTGAACAGGGGTTATTAACCAATCAAATTTCAAGATTAGGTGTAACGTAACACGATCAGGAAAATTAAAACAAACGTTCGCTTTGTCAAAAATCGCCCACAACTCAAAATTTAGTCTATGAAATCGCCTTCTGCGTACTAATAAAAAATTTCCTTGCAAAATTTTGATAAAAGAATCACTTTTAAGCTCTAACTTAACAGCAAGTTACGTACCCTAATCTAATAACGTAGATTTTTACTTTGAAAAAATTTTGGGTGGAGAATTAACCAGGGTACAAAATTGGTGCGGCAGCTATCGCTATGTCCAATCCCATATACTATCGATATAGCAATATTTACTGTTTGACAAATTTGGCCAATAAAATTCTTGGAACGGACTGGTCAAATTGGTCAAATTGGTCTGGTCAAATAGTCAAATTGGTCTGGTCAAATAGTCAAATTGGTCTGGTCAAATAGTCAAATTGGTCTGGTCAAACCAACACTAATTATAACACAGCAAATATAGTACTCGGATTTTTAATAAAGAAAGCAATGGATAAATAATTATATAGAATAAATAAATGCAGTTGCTTAGATTCATCAGTATTGTTTTTTTTTATATAATATATTTTTTAACGTTAGTACATATTGTTTTTGTATGCATATAATTCTGTATTTGCGCAAGCTGTAACAGTAATACGTATGAATTGTTTCAAAAAATTTACTGTATAACAATAATGGCAATAAAAATTTTTTAAATTACGGCAAGTTACGGCAAATACAAAAGTTATAACGTAAACAGCTATATTATATATCGCAAGTTATAGCATACCGACACCATATTTTAAAGCAAAAAGGTATAACTGGTTATAAATCAGTTACGACACGGGTTTTCCCAATGCTCTAAGTCCCGCCTGCATCTATACTCGAGACCATAGAAGCCTCTCTAAAAAAAAAAAAATTTGACCAATCTGAATGTGGTTGTCGTAATATCACTAGTCTATTTTTGCTGCTAAAAAATCCGAAGGTTTTAATATTTAATTAGTAAGAATCATCGAATTTATCATATGTCGCTGTACGAGTTACCAATGACTATCGTTGACCATTTAAATTATTTGGATCATTTGAGTCATTTCAGATCATTTACTATTCTTGCTTTTTTTTGAAACCAAATTCGTACGGAAAATTTTAGCCAATCAGAACAACTCCATGAAAAAAAATGAGTAATCGGTCTCTTTTATCAATGATAGCTAGCTGGATAAGTCAGATCAATTCTGCAATTACTTTATGTAATTAAAATTTTATCTCTTTAGTAATGATTTTATAGCGTAAATCGTAAATTGCATGAATAAATACCAAATACTGAAATATTTCATTCTAAATAGAATGTGGGGCAAATCGACGATAAGACAATGTTTTTCGGATTGTAAGAAACTATTGTACACCCAAATTAAACGGAAAATTTTGCCGCTATCCGAGTTTGATTGATACTATTGCTATGTCCGAATTAGGTGTATAAAGTCGATATATGAAGAGAATTTATATTTTCGTCATTTTAAACCATTGTAAATTTTTTTTAGATGTGCGTGACAAATCGTGTAACTAATAATGTCATTCATAAGATATCAAAATGTTAAAAAGCTTTAAATGAAATCGAAATGTAGTCGATTGGCCGATCTACGTATATTGTAATGCTATAATGGGAGCGATTTTTTACCGGTGAACGCGTGTTCATTTCTTAGCAATGTTTCAAATCTTTTATAAAGGCACTCTGAGCTACATACACGCCTTAGCGTGTTCTCGAAATACCTCCGTTTACTCTATAAGTTTTTTAAAACGCACATATATAAAACCTTTGAAGCTTAGCAGTACGTTTGCATCCAGCCTTACAGGAAATAACATGCCAGGTTAGTTATCATAAGACAATGACTTATTTGAGGAAAATAAGCGACTTTTGCTTAATGAATTCGCTTTGCCTCATTATTGCCAGGTTATTGCGTCTTATTTTTCAATTGGTATGACCTCTGAAACAGAATAATTTTTACCTTACCTATTCTTTGACCATGCTTTTTGATTTTAAACTCGTAGAATTCACTTATTCCAAGATACTTACTTTTGAAACAATAAATCCTCATGTTAAGAAGGTTGAATATGCCGTTCGAGGTGAATTGGCAATTCGTGCCGAAGAAATTAAGGAAGTGCTTGCCAAAAATGGTCCTGGTAAGTTAGGATTTGACACTGTTGTGAATTGCAATATAGGCAATCCACAGCAGCTTTTGCAGCGATCGATTACCTTCTTCCGTCAGGTATTTATATTTGTTATGGTTACGTTGATTCGGTCTCTTTTTATTCTATTAAGGGGGTTTCGATCCACGTTGATTAGGTCGCCTGTTTGACGGAATACCCTGATCTTTTATTACCGGAAAATCGTAATCACGTAAACGCGCTCTTTCCTTCGGACGCGATCGAGCGCGCCCAATTGTTGCTAAAACAAATTGGAAGTGTCGGTGCATACTCTCATTCACAAGGTATCCCTTACATAAGAAGAGACGTCGCAAAATTCATAGAAGGTTAGTGATTCTGTGTACATCTAGTAAAAATTATCTAATTATTAATCATTCAATTTCTTATATTTAGAACGTGATGGATACCCATCAGATCCGGATAACATTTTTCTTACGCAAGGAGCCTCAATGGGTGTACAAAGTGTACTACAACTTATTATCGCACATTCCAATGTTGGCATTATGATACCTATTCCACAATACCCTCTTTATAGCGCAACACTATCGCTTTTTGATGCTAAACCGGTACCTTATTACTTAAATGAAGAGGAAAATTGGAGTTTGAATATTTCTCAGTTGACTTCATCCCTTGCTACAGCACGTGACAAAGGATTGGACGTTCGTGCGCTAGTTATCATTAATCCTGGTAATCCAACTGGACAATGTTTAACAGAGCAAAATATGCGTGAAATCATTGATTTTTGTCATCAACAACACCTCGTTCTTCTTGCTGATGAAGTATATCAAACCAATGTGTATCAACCCGCTGAACGTCCTTTCCGTTCCTTTAAAAAGGTGCTAAGATCTATGGGCAGTAAATATGACCAATTTGAATTGTTTTCTTTTCACTCTGTTTCAAAGGGTATGATAGGTGAATGTGGACGAAGAGGTGGCTACTATGAATGCACTGGTATCGACAAACAAGTTATTGATCAACTTTATAAGATCGCATCAGTTGGCCTTTGCCCGAATGTTCCAGGACAAATCATGGTTGATTTGATGGTACGTCCGCCTAAACGTGGTGATAAAAGCTACCCATTATATCAAAAAGAAATAAATAGAATATACGAGAGCTTACGAAGACGAAGTATTAAGTTAAGTAACGTGTTCAATAGTATGGAAGGTATTTCATGTAAGAATGCCCAGGTAAATTTTGATGCATTGTTTTTTATAATTTAAAAATCTTGCCATTTTTTACACATTGCAATATATATTTATATACCACGCGTTGGATAATCATAGGGATCCATGTATTTGTTTCCAAGAATTAACCTTCCAGCCAAAGCAATGGAAGCCGCTAAAAAGGCTGGAAAGCAACCCGATGAATTTTATTGCTTGGCAATGCTTAATGCTACAGGCGTGTGTGTTGTACCAGGTAGTGGATTTCATCAAGAAGAGGGTACATGGCATTTTCGTAGTACATTCTTACCACCCGAAGAATTATTCGATGGGTTTTGCCAAAGAATAGAAAATTTTCACAAAGAATTTCTAGCAAAATATAGAGATTGAAAAATTAAAAATACGTAACTTATAACCCGGTAATTATTAATAGTTTTGTAAATTTTCCGCAACATTTTTAAGACACGATATACATATATTTGCGATAGAACAAATATGAAAATGTTATTATATTAGATCGATAATAATTTTATTTAAACTTGAAAGATTATATAGAGGATAATTTATATTTCAAACCTCAAATCTTATAAATAAATGTTTTATTTAGATTAATGAGGCATGCACTGTAGTGTTCTAAACCTTTAGTCATTTAACAATATCGGATATTGTATTACCCATACGTATCTGCTTGTCAATAACAAATCAGCCACTGCGTACCACGTGACTGCGTAATTTTTAATTATATTTTATTTCCTACTTGAGGACGTAGCAATAATGAAATTATTACTATTTAACGTTAAAGGGATCGCCTAAAGCCGGATAGTCTTATAAATAAAAAACCATGTGATGAATATAAAATATTATTCCCGGCCTTGGACGATCCTCATCACCAACGTTATCGTGGGAAACAAGACACCATGTGACTAAGATCATGATGCAATAAATTGGTGCACACTAAAACTTTTACAGTCTTTTGTCAAAAGAGAACCAATTATATTCCTATCTGCGCATGGCACAGCAAAGTTGCGCCAAACCTATTTATCGTTACTTAGCGGGACGCATTGGCCAACATAAAGATAATTTGTATCTTCATCCAGATAAGGAAAAGTTCGTTAGACTTCCGATTGGAGGAAGAGAAACCCAAGGCGTATTTTACACAGTACCAATAACAAAAGTTTCTTTGTGACTTAGATGGCTTCTCCAGAGATTCAAATTCCTGATTCTGTTTACCCACCTATTCCAGGGGAAAACCATCGGTATTATGGAAATATTCACAAAAAACAAGTAATGCTTCATTCCACTGCCAATGTCCGAGATTTTTATGATACGTCAAGCTTACCTCGATATTTTGACAACCAAAATGTAATGGACATGGACATACACGATGCAGCTGCCTGTGGCAATATAGAAAGGGTAAAAGACCTGCTAGATCCTCGCGGTGCCGGTGAAACTACTTCATCCTTTTTGCTTGCGAATGAAGTAAGCTCATCTGGTTTAACTCCTTTACACTATGCCGCTTCGCGCGGTCACACGGATATTGTTCAATGGTTAGTCACCGATGCTGGGGCCATTATAGATCTTGAGGATCAGACCGGTGAGGTATGTACAAAACTGTAAAAATAGACACATTTACATATATGTTGTTTACACTTTAATTTTTATTATAAATGATAGACTGCTCTTCTGAAAGCTTCTTATAATGGACATCTTTATATTGTGGCTTGGCTTTTAAAGAATTCGGCAAATGTCGAACAGAAAGATAATGATGGGTGGACTGCTCTGCACAATGCTTCCTCCCAGGGTCATCTACTCATTGTCAAGTGTTTGTTGGAAGACACCAATGCCAATGTAGACGTTAAGAGCAACAAGGGGCATACACCATTGAGTAAATTTATTAAATGTTCATTTATAGTTTTCAAGTTGAAAACCTGAAACATGTCATAATCAAATATAATCTAATTTAGTGAATGCTGCTTCAAAAGGACACATCGCTGTCGTTAAATACCTTTTGAATACTGCTAACGCAAACCCTTTCATAAAGAATTGTCATGGTGAATCCGCTTATGATGTAGCCGCTGTCGCTCATAAAGCATATGTTTGTGAATTATTGGAAAAAGTTGAACGTGAATGGTGGAGGAATAAAAGAAGATTATTGCAATCAAGTAAATTTTTAGAAATAACCGTTAACAGTTAATAAGAAGTTATAATTTGGCTAGATTGTATTTTTAAATACAATACAAATTGTAACTGCATACATGTAAATAGACATTCTGTTACTTTAAATATAGCTTTATTAACTATGTTTCTTTTCGACAGCAACTTCATTCAATGATCGTATGGATTTACCAGCTCAAAATCAACCATATAATGTTTTAGCCTTCCACAACACTGTACCTATTATTCTTCATGAGAATCAACGCTTGTCCTCCACTTTTAGTTTATCTATTCGTAATCCTCCAAAATACTCAGCAAATAACCTTTTGAAGACCGATTGCAGCCCTTGGACCCTTCAACCTGAAGGGAAATCCACTTCTAAGGATGACGTTCACCTTCCACTGGAACATTCATCGTCATCTATTTCATCAAAATCTTCGCAAAGTGACTGGTTTTGGTTTGATGACTGGCTCGTTGATCTTAGTTATCCACGTGTTGACTCACAAGGATGGCAGTATGCTAGAAAATTTGAAGATCCAGAAAATTTATGGTCAGAGTCATTACCATTAAATAGTAATACTGGAGTTCGAAGAAGAAGATGGGTACGGATCATGAAACGTCGTGTTGATTTGGATTATTTAGATAGAGGCGAATCTCTTGTTCAAAAACACCAAGGCAACGGTAAAGGTAAGTCTGTCGACCTTTCATTTATTGATAAATTGATAATATATAAAAAAGCAATCGAAATTTTATCTTCTGGCCTTAAGGTTGTTAATGGGTTGGGTTAGAGTGAGTTATTCCTTAACCCGCTCCAACTTGAGTTGGACTCACTCTGGAGCCACTCCATATTTGCTTAGAGCTGCTCCAGTTCACTCCAGCTTCGCTCTAGCATATTTTTAACCCACTTCAACTTGGGTTGAGTTCACTCTGGAGCTGCTCCGGAGTATGCCACTCCATTAACAACCCTATCTGGCATTAAAAAGTATGTATCGTTTTATCATTATTTTTTTGTGGCACCTATTTATATCTATAGATGATAATAAATTTGTCTTATTAAATACAGCTGATTTCAATGCATAATGGAGACAAAAGGCAATGACTTAATAACAAATATACACAATTACAAGGCACAAATTCCCATGATAATCCGACGGCACCAAATATGTTAAAGCCATTGTCTCCTACTAGATCAGATGCACCAATTACCAATCACGGAACACCATCAACCGCAAGTTTTGAAACAATTGAGCACCCATGGAATGAAGATGCTTATAATGTTCAAGAGTCGATTCTTGACCTTACAACGCCTTCCACATTATCTATGTCTAGAACACAAACGGGTGTCAATATGACAAATGCTCAAGCACATTCTTTAACTTCTCATAGCAAATACGAATGGGAAAATGACGAGGATGTAAGTGAATGTCGTCGTTGCAATAAAAAGTTTAGATTATGGACTAGAAGGCATCATTGCAGGTCTGTACCGAAAACCTTGTTTTTTTTTTATAAAAATGCCTTGTAAATCTTTAAACTTATTTAATAAATTTACACGAAATAAAAAGACGGTGTGGCCGAGTAGTATGCGATCAATGTTCTACTGCACGAGTTGTTATGTCACCTACACAAGTTGTTTCCGGTCCTTCATCAAGTGAAAATGTTGGTCAACCTTCTCAACCTCGCCGTGTGTGTGACGATTGCTATCAAGCAATGGGACATTAATAAGTTAGCCGGATCAAGCTAGTTTTCTGATAAGTAGAAAAGATCAGTATCTAGTTAACCCTATGTAAATCTTCCAATTAACTTGTGAAACCTGTTCGTTTCACAAGACTTAATTTACATTTTAAATATATATTTATTGTGGTCGAAATCGTGTGATTTTAATTTAAGTCCAATAAACTATCGTCATTAATATGGAACTAACTATAATGATAACTAAATAATTAATATTGATATAATCAGCTAACTACTGCTACATTTCGTGTTTTTCATAAAGCATCAGGACGATAAGACTGGAGGGCATAAGTTGAGCCAAGAGCGGTTACCGTATTGATTTATAGTATCTTATTATAATATGTATCAACAAAGTAACAAAAAAAAACTCAGCTTACCTTCTTGTATAATATTATTTGCATGTTTCAAAGATTTAAATACTAATATTCAATTAGTGAATTAATGCTAAATTAATTATCTATTTAAATAAAATTATTCCATAAATACATGTACTATGTATATTCTTTTTAAATGTATATTAATCTTAATAAAATGGCTTTTATAAATACACATTCTCTCTAAATGCATATTTTTAAAAATTTTATAGTTCCAAGGGGTGTATTTATGGGTTGACTGTAATAATTTTTGTGTCAGCTTATACTAGGAATTTGACTTTTTTTTTCAAATTAGGATTTTTTTTGTAATTTTTTTTTATAGTTGGGTTTTGATATTACTAAAACTGGAATAGTAAAAGAAGTAGCAAATATGTGGTAAGGATTGGTCTTATCTAAATTAGAAGCACCTCTGGCATTATGAAACAATTAGTTAAAAGAAGATAGTTATATAGAGGTAGGCTAGTGTAATCCTACAAAATTTCATTAAATCTTAATATTTTTTTTATTTTTTTTTATTTTCTTTTGTTTTATTATATTTTATTACATTATTATTATTATATTGTTATATTATTATATTTATTATTATTGTTATCATTATATTTTTGTCTATATTTTATTATTATTATATAGCAATTAGAGAGTGAGTATAAAAAATGTCTGAATTCAGAGGTCAATATCTCAAAAACTAATACAGAAATCTATTACTACGCATTAGTTAACCTCTCTATTTTGGGTAGAACATTTTTAGTTTTTTTTTTAATCTTCAAAGGTGAGGCCAGAAAAATATTTTTGTTTTAATAATCAAAATTGATTATTATAGTAAAATTTTTAGTAATTTATGTTTTTTTGACTAATATTTTAGAAATTACTAATTAGTGTAACATAATTAGTAATCAATATAATAAATGATGTATCTGATGATCACATGTGCATCACATGATAATTAGATGTTTAGTAATCTTCTACATAGTTTTAAAATATTCTATATAGTCTTAAAACATTATATAAGATTTTATTTTTTATCTTTCTTAAAAGGACTATAACTATAACTTTAATAACTTTGTAGTTTTCTTTTATAATTGTTTTATAATAAATAAACTTATTGTTTATTAAATTTTCTCCCAGAAAACTCTTTTTATTTTATCTCTATTTTGTTAGTTTCTTTTTCTTTTTGTTTTTTTTTGTTTTTTTGCTTGTGTTTATCTTTTCTGGATGTTCTATAGAATAGGTGAGCAAACTCTACCAACTCTGCAACTCTGATATTAAAAAATTAATGATTACTAATTATTAACGAAGCTTATTTCTTATATTGCCTACCTATTCTATAGAACATACTCTTTTCTTTGATTCATTTCAGCACCTAAAAGTGCTCAGTATTTGAGTCTTGTTTATTGTAATTGTTTTTTATCTTCTATTTAATTCTTTTATAATTCTAAACTATTCTTTTAAATATTAACTTTCTGTTACACTCTAAACTGTCAGTTATTACTTTCTTTTGCAAAACACCTACTAGCAGTATTGTACATTTTTATTGTCTCAAGCTTTTTTGCTATGTCCTAATATCCCAATGTTTCAAAATGTTCTAATTAAGTCCCAAGTTTTAATAATTAATAAGTTAATTGAAAAAATATATAATTATATATTTTTTTAGATGCTGAGTATATTTTTAAAAAAATTAAAGTAGATTATCTTAATAAAATTTTGAGTAATTTTAATTTATAAAATTGTTCCAAAATATTCTAAAATAGCCTAACTTATATCTAAATTGTACTATATACAATACTGCCTACTAGTGTTTTGAGTTGAAAGCAATAATAATACTAGCTAATCTAGTACATATAAAGACACCAAGTCAAAGCTCTGGTTATATTTATATAGAAGTTAATAATAAAAAGAAGTTAGAATACATCAACATTAATGTAATATTAACTAATAGATAAGGGTTCAAGTTAGAAGTTAAGATGAACTGGAGTTTTTCTTTTAATAATATAATGCAAGGCTTATAGTTAAAAGTAAAGCTATTTGTTACATAAAAATTTCATAATATAGACTGGTTTTTAACAAAATAAATTATTAAAACAATATTATAAAATATAGTTTTAATAATATATTATAGAAAATTACTACAAATTACTATTAATGATTATCACTAATAATTTACATTGAATCTAGTATAATGTAACAAGTTAGACCTTTGGTTAACAAGTTACCTTACTTAACTAAGTGTACGAGTAGTTAAGAAATGTGTTTATATAATTTATAG